TCTGTTGATGGGCGCTTGGGCTGCTTCCACGTCTTGGCCGTTGTGAACAATGCTGTGATGAACTTAGGGGTGTAAACGTCTTTTTGAACTAGTGTTTTCATGTTCTTTGGATAAATACCCAGAAATGGAATAGCTGGATCATATGGTAGATCTATTTTTATAAAACTGTAATTTTTATTTTGAGAAATAAAAAAATATAAAAAGTACAAAGAGTAATGTAACAAGCTTCAGTATATTCAGCCCTAGAAACGTCAGCTGTGAACATTTTGTCATTTTTGCAACAAGTCTTGCATTATTTTATTTAAAAACTACCTGAACATTACAGAAAAAATTAAAGTTCTCTTTTTCACAATTCATCTCCCTCCCAGAGGCAATCGCAACTATGAATTTATTATGCATCCTTGTAAACCATTTTTATATTTTACTCATATGTGGACCTACGAACAATATTTTGTTTTCATGCATTTAACATTTTTATCTAAATGTTTATTGGCCATAGTATTCTGCCACTTGCTTTTTTTCAGCCAAAAATATATTTTGTAGACTTACCCATGTAGCACATTTAGACTTAGTCTTTTTACCTGCTGTGTAGTATTCCATTGCGCCAAGGTTTATTTAGCTCTTTTCAAATGATGGGCATTTAGGCTGACTCTAGTGATCCACTATTATGACCAGTCCTGAGATGAACACCCCAGTCAGGAAACATTCAGATTCTGCATTACGTATTTTTATAACACTTCGGTTTTGTATACTATACAGGATAAGATGTTCTTTATCTTCATAGACACAGAAACAATCTTCAAAAGAAAAATATCACTTTATCTGCCTTTTTCTACCTGCCAGCTGATTCTTCTTTCCAGGATGGAGAGACTGAATGTTTGTGGCTTTGATTAGTTTGGTTATTGTTGGTACTAATGTGCATCCAGATAGAAAATTCCCACACTCGAGGGTCTTCATTATTTGGATCTCTTTGTATTGGGTGCTCTCATTCATTCCACCGATATTTCCTGAGCATCTGCTGTGTGCCACGCTCTGTTCTAGGCAGGGACAGCTCAGACGTGGTTCTTGTCGTCATTAATTTCCATTCCAGGGGGAAATGGACAATACACAACAGGCACAGATAACTCCTTTCCTTCCTCTTCCAGAGCTCACTACTGAAGAGCCGTGGAGATGTGCCTCCTTGGCAGAGTCTCCTCTGGCTGAGCCCTCAAGGAGATTTATGGCTAGCAGGTTGAGCAGGACTCAACATTAAAATTTCCAAGAGTTCTGTTCTGATGATCTGTTGCTGCATAACAAACCACCCCAAACACAGTGGGTTAAACCAACAGTGACATTTATTTTGCTTACTAATCTCCAGTTGGGGCAGGGCTTGGGGACAGCCATCTCTGCAACATTCACCATCATCTGGGGCAGCCGGAAGAGATCATCCCGAGATTCACTCACTCACATGTCTCGTGATTGATGCCGGCTGTCAGTGGGACCTCCGCTGGGCTGTGGCTGGGGCGCCTCCGTGTGGCCTCCCCGAGTGGCTGTTGGACTTCCTCACAATATGGCGGCCAGCTGTGAGGGCTGGCATCCCAGGAGGACCAGGCGGGGGCTGCATTGCCTGTTATGACTTATTCTCAGAAGCCACATGGAGTCACTTCTGCTGTGGCCACAGGCCCACACAGACTCAAGGGGAGGGGACACTGACCCCTCCTCTCCGTGGAGGTGTGTTGATGTCCGTTGTAAGAAGGGCATGTGGGATGGATGTACTGGTGCGACCACCTTTGGAGAACACCATTCACCACAAGTTGTGCAGAGCAATCCTTGGTCCTCTACCAGCATTTGGCCAGATCCTCCAGTGCGGAGTGGCAGGGCAGTGGCATACCCGTATGGAGATGGCCGTGTGGACCGTGGCTGGAATTGTGGCAGAATCATTGAGGGCTACTCAGTTCACGGAAACACTGCGTTGTCTCCTTGGCTCCCCACAACACCCACTGTCCCTCCCACTTTACAGATAAGGAAATTGAGGTCGGGAGCCCTTGAGAAGCTCCACAGTCCACATGGTCAGTAAGCCGGGAAGCTTGGGTTGGAACCCAGGCATATAGTGAGACTCTCTTCCTCAAATCAGCATGACCACCCTCTCCTCCCAGGGAAGTGAGGCTTCTGCTGCTCTGAAAGCTCCCAGACACGGGACTGCACCGGGCTGCCGCTCAATGGCCTCCGGTTACCATGGCGACAGTGGCCAGCCACGCAGAGCAACACTTTTGACCTTTCTCCCTCCCCCACTCAGTGGTTCCGGCTCCTACTGAACTGTGAGGGACACAGTACATTTCCAGGCCTCGGAAGGGCATCTCCGCTCCGTGCGCTAATGGGCTTGTTGATCTGAGAAACGGTCTTAGGATGTCTCCTTGACTCGAGGCACGGGCTGAGCAATTATAAAAATGAAATACGATGTCACGTCAGGCGGCCCGTCACCGCGTTCTGCTGTCTGAGACTGTTCAATTATACACACCTGTTTCCAGGGCTTCCAAACTCTTCAATAAAAGACCTTTCGGGGTAGAATTTTTCCTGCTCACTCTTCTGGGCTATTTTGGGAAGATGGGCTAAGACGCTGTTCACATATTCTTAGACATAATAGAGCATGTCAAAAGGTGGGTGTGTGCTGGTGTTTGCAGAAGAATTCTGGAGCTAGTGGCCCTTTCAAAGGGAAATTCGCACTCAAGGATGCTCCTGGCACTTACTGCTCACCCCGTGTGGTGTGGCACCTGTGTTTATTAATCATAGGGGATCTGGGCCACTGTTGTAAGAGTGGGACCATTTTGATCCTGGGTTAGGAGGGGAGGCAGCTGCCAATTAGGGATAGTGGTTTAAAATCAGAGTTAATTGGGATTTATTAATTTAAATAGACATGAAGATTTTATATTCACGAAACATACATGGCCACTGACGGCGGGGCCATCCTTCCCGTGGGCTTAGGCTGCAGCAAGTCATGTGACGTCTAGCTTCAGATATGCATGTCTGACTGTGCCTTCCCATCCGCCCGGATCCAAGCCTGTCACGTCCTGCCTGGAGTCTGCCCTGACCCCATCACGTCCATCACCACCCCTATGGCGTCTTCCTGCTTTCATGCTGGTCTCTTTACAGTCTGTTCTCATCAAGGAGCCAGAATGAACCTTTAAAAGCTGAAGTCATGTCAAGCTGCACTCTGCTTAAAACCCCAGACAAAGAGGGCAGAGAGCAGGCAGTTCAGAGGGCGGGCCGCCAGGGCAGGGAGGGCAGGCGAGGAAAATGATGCCTCTCTTTTCCATAGCTTGATCTCTCCTTCCTGGCTGGGACTTCATTAGAAGCAGCCTAGAGAAGCTGGGGTGCCTCCTTTCGCTGGTCAAGCCAGATCTGATGTCCAAGGACTTCTAAGTGAGGGATGTGCCACTTCAGACAGAAGTGACAGACACATGGTATAAAGCAGGGAGGCAGACGCTTATATGGAAGCAAAAGGGCCCTGACACTTGCTCCTAGGCCAGGCAATAGGGAGCGGTGGCGACTGCGGTGAAGTAGAGACCATGCGCTCTGCCTGTGAGAGACTGCCCAGCCCTGGGCAACTATCGTCATTTGATAATGCAGGTCTGATGCTGCCAGATTGTCCAGTTTTTCAAGAGAAGCCAGAAATCCAGACTTGTGGACTCTCCTGTTTTTGTTTTTGAGCCTCAGTCTGAACTCATGGATTTTAACACAGTTGCCATGTCTCCACCCTTGAGTCATTTGTTGTTTTGGATGCTCTAAGTCATCCCAGCTTTGGCCAGCGAGCAGTCCTTCGAGCTGGCTCATCTGTCTTCTTGACACATCCCTGTCGGTGCTGGAGCACTTTCCTATTTCCCGATAGCTCACGCTATTCCAGGTTCATCTGGTATGTGTCCTGCTCCAGACGTGGAATCAACCGTTTCTCCAAGAAGCTCTGATTTTAAAGCTTGGCAATAAACCCATGTTCAGAATGGAAGCTTGGCTGTAGCCAGATCTGTTCCTGGGGTGGCCCTCGGGTTCCTGGGTAGATGTTTCGGCTCCATTTGGAGAGCCCCAGGCTGAGGGCCGCCATCTCTGGGGAGATTGGCCTCTGCTCCCGGGGTCTGCTGGGATGATGAATGATGCGGCTAATGTATCCGGACGGCTGCATTCCACCTGGGGCAGCCACCCAAAAAGGGTCTGAAATGCACTTTCCCCGAGAGCTGCTCTTACAGGCTTCATCTCCAGAAATCTGTCGAGACTCAGGTGTGGATTCAGAGGCGAGGTCGCGGGCTCTACAGACCGTGGCGGTTTCTCCATTCCATTGTCTTGTCTATCACCGCAGAGCTACGGGGTGGACCCACGGGGGCGGTGTCTGGAAGGGGTCATCCCTAATGCAGCGACAGTAAACTGATGGAGGGATCTTCCTTTAAAGCTTCTGCTCTGCTGGCAGCCACGGCCCACGCCTCTGCCACATGGGCCACTGGTGCTGCCTGTGTCTGTTTAGCAGCCTGTAAATGCTGAGCACACGGACTGTCTGATTCTCTTTGACGCCTCGTGTGAGCAGGGGGTCAGACTGCCTGGGCTTGAGTCCTGGCTTGGCTACGGACCAGATCTGGAACATTGGGCAAGCTATCCAACCCTTCTGTGCCTCAGTTTCCCCCTATTAAAAGTGGAGACAGTTGAAATATCTACCTCAGAGGGTTGTTATGGAGAGCAAATGGGTTAATACACCTAAATCCCTTAGAGCAGTGGCTGAAACACAGCAAGGCTCAACAAACATTGATGTTTATGATTATCGGACTCTCCGGGTCCAGGCAGGCATAAACAATTCCTGGATTGTTCATCGCACAGGCCAGCATGTTTCTTCTTTTCTTTTCCTTTTTTTCTTGGCTCCCCTCTCTTTCCCTCCCTCTCTCCCATTGTTTTGAACCATTTTTCTGCTACTTGCAGCCTGGGCTGGCCATGGACGTGTGACCAGTGCAGCCACATGGGGCCTCACTCAGAAGGGTCCCACACTTTGTTTAATGCGTTGTTGTCACTATCTTGAAATTCTTAATAATTCTGAACAAGGGCTCCTGTGTGTTCACTTTGCACCAGGCCCCGCAGAGTACGTCGTTGATGCTGTGTGTCACCAAAGCCGCTGGGGCGTCTCTTTGTTTCTCTGTCTCCTGGCACACGATGGGCTTCCAGTAAATACCGACTGAATGGAATTATTATCCACTGGGACCAGCGCATCTTTTCTCCCGTCTGTCCTCTCCACCAGCACCTGCCTAGGCAGCGCGTGACTCCCGTATAATTGTGTGCAGAATCCTTTGGCCAAGCGTGTGGAGTGGACTCGATTACGCTCCGTTTCTCTGAAAGTCTTGTTCCAATTCGTGGTCCAGCAGCTGTCCCAGCCTCCAGCCCTCTTGAACCAGCCTGGACGTGCCACGTGGGCGTCTGAAGACGCTAACGAGGCCTTGCTTTCTTGGGACACCGACATTTTGACAAGAACCAGCAGCGATGGCTCCTCTGCAGTAATGGGAGGTTCTGTGAAATTTGCTCTTACCTCTAGACAGCAGGGGGCAGGCCCTGCCCTTCCTTCCTGCTCGGAAGTGGGTTCTACCCTGGGTGGGGAGGGGACAGGGGACACATGGCACTGCAGGCCCGGGAGGTGGGCTGGGCTGCCCGTGCTTCCTGTGGGCAGCTTGCTCTGCATTAAGTAGGCGCCTCCTGCACACAGGCTCTCGAGGGGCCCGGCCACTTCTTCCTACAGGAGACTGAGCCAGCCCGGGCCTGAGCCTGGCAAATTCTCTAAGCTGGGAAGAGCGTGAGGTCGCGAACCCTTGTGAGGGAGGCACAAAGATCTTTTCTTCCAGCCCAAATTAGCGAAATTGCCAGAGGCTGTTGTCATCTTTCAGCTAAATCCGAGGGGTTACAGTTGGGATGGACTTTCTTTCTTCGGCGCTAATGACCAGGCCGCCTGGCTGTTCTTTCCCAGATTAGAGTTGAAATGAACTGAGAAACGTCTTCCTGGTGGGGAGCGGCTCTGCTGGCCCTGCAGCAGCCTGGGGGGTCTGCAGAGCGGGGGACCCGGAGACTCCCCCGCTGGAGAGGGTGTGGGTGGGCCCTGCGCCTGCAGGCGAGTTGGGGCCCCTTCTCTGGGTCAGGTTGTTGGGTGCCCTGGTCTGGCTTCTGCTGTCTCCCCGGGTCCTCTGGGCTCAAGAAAGCGTGCTCTAGGGTTGCCAACGTGACCCATTCCAGAGACCGGGCAGGCATGCACACAGAGGGAGCAGATGAGAGGCTGGGAAAGGAACAGCACCATCGCCAATTGCAGCTGGTAGGCAATGTGCCTGGGTGAGGGCCCGAAGTCTCGGACAGAGGGGGGATCTCTACCAAGCTGTCTTCATTTTCCACCTGCTGTCTTCACGCTGTACTGCCCGCCTGGCCCAGCTTGTGTTTGTGGTCCTTGCTTTCCAGTCATTCTTGGTGTTTTTCCAATGGTGAGTCCCAGAGGTGGCTTTCAAACCATGTCTTGCAGAGGCCAATAGGAACTCAGAGTGTGTCACCTGCAACTGCTTGGGTTCAAATTCTGGCTCCGCCCCTGCTGGCTGTGTGGCCTTGAGCAAGTGACTTAACCTCTCTGTGCCTCCCTTTCCTCATCCAACGGAGCTGATCATGGTACCTCTGGTTGTAGGGAGGATGAGAACTGGTTAATCCATGTCAAGTGCTGGGAACAGCACCTGGCACAGAGTGAGCGCTGTGTACATATTAAATACAGTTATTCAGAGTCATCTGGAGCTTTTCATCTCCTGGCACATAAATACATGGAAGGAGGCTCCCTGCCCCCACCTCCCGTGAGTGGTGATGCGCAGCGTTCACTGAGTGGCCAGCTGAGCGGAACCCAGAAGTGGGCGGTGTTCTCTTTCAGCCTCTTGTCCTCGCCTCTCTTGGCTGGGAGCAGGACACTGGGTTCCGACCTGGTCCTGTCGTTTCTGTGATGGGTGGCTGCTGGCAAATCACCTCGCCTGCTGGGCTTCCCCTGGAGCATTTACCTGCTGGGGCTGCTGAGACGGGGTGGGTGGGCATCACTGTGGGGGCCTCCAGATCCGCCCCTGCTGCATCCAGAGAGTTCTTAGTGGTCCTGTTTGTTGGCTTTCCCTGTAAGGAAGTTGTTCTTTCTTTAAACAAGGCAGAAACTGCACTCCTAGATAAGCAGAAATGCAAATGTAAACAAGGGGACACCGTTCAACAATTGTTTCTTGAAATGTTGTATCTCATCACAGAACCTTGGCACCAACTTCAGCATCCAGCAGGAGAATGGATCCATATGGTCTTCCCTACAATGGGACACTGTATGGGAGCCGAGAGAGTGGGTGACGACAATGTGTGTCAATAGATGTGAATTTCACAAATATAACGTTGAGTGGAAAATGCAAATTGCAAAAGAATCGAGTATGATACTGTTTATGTGAAGTTTAAAATTCTAGAAATGATGCAACATATTATTGCATAAACAGACATTATAGACCGTAATCAAAGTAAAAAATCAGGAAAGTTCAGGAAAGGGCTTGTCTTGGGTCGGGGCGGGAGGGGGCACAGGGGACTCAGCTGGGTTCGTGATGACATTTCTTCAGTTCATGGTGGTGCATGTGCATTCATTGTATTTCAAACCCTCTTTTGTAAATCTTAAATATCATGTACAAAATTTAAAAAATATTTTGGCTGAACAAAAGTTTATAGAGCAAAAAAAAAAAAAAGTCTGAGAGGTGCTGGACTGGACGTCCTTGACTCCTTCCCTGGCTCCGACCCTCTAGGATCTTCTGAGTGTCCTTGGAGGCTGGCAGTGTGACCTGGTTTCCCAGGTGGGTAGGGCGGTACAGTGGCTAGAGAATCAGACAGGTGGCTGGTTTGTCCTGGTGACCTTGGATTAGAGCCGGGTCCCCTCTGGGTGTCGGCTTCCTTAGCTGTGGAGTGGGGAGAATTGAGCCCCTCTGACCTTACCTCTCAAGGTTGATGCAGGTACTTGCTGAGGGGGTGGTGCCTACGGAGCATTTGGCTCAGAGCTGGCTGCATGGTAACTGCATGGTACACGTAGTAGGGCTGTTAGTGATGATAATGAGCTGTCGTTTCATCCACAAAGTGAGACGGACAGGTGGAGGGAAGGAAGAGGGGGAAATAATGAGGACATGACCCCTCCAGTAGAAACCTCTGCTTTCGTAGCCCCTGATGCCTCCGTGTTAATGAAGCTACTGTCTCAAGTTCAAAGCCCCATGAGGACCAGTTTTTTTCTTTTAATTGAGGTCACATGAGTTTATCACGTCATGTAAATTTCAGGCGTACATCATTATACGTTGACTTCTGTATAGCCTACATCGTGTTCACCACCAAAAGCCTAGTTTCCATCCATCACCATACATATGTGCCCCTTGACCCCCGCCCCTCTGGTAACCACCAATCTGTTCTCTGTCTTTATGTGTTTGGTGGTTGTCGTTGTTGTTTTCTCTTCCACATATGAGGGAAATCATACAGTATTTGGCTTTCAAAAGGACCGGTTGGTTTGTATCATTCTACCTGTTGGGTGTGAACCATGCTGTTCCCATGCCTTCTCCTCTGCTCTGGTCATGCACTCTGCTGCTTTTCTCTTGGCCACAGGCTGACCCTGACCCGTCACAGATCCCACGGCTGATGATGACCCCAGACTAAACCTGTTCATCCTGCCAGGACAGGCACTGACCCTGTGGTCCCCCTCAGGGCTGGGCTACCTTCCCTCTTGTTGGCACAGAGTGGTGGGGGCAGCCTGTCCGCCCTCTGCTCGGGGGTGGGCCTTTCTCTCTGAAGATGGAGAGGCTGGAGCCCAGAGGGCAGGGGCTCTGTTCAAACCGAGAGGAGCAGAGGGAGGGGCTTGCTACCCAGTGGAGCAGCCAGGGCCGGAGACGGCCTGGAGCAAAGCGTTTGCAAGACCACTTCTGCTCTTCTTTGTCATGAGCTGGATCTGTCTGGCTGGTCACCTGCTGTGCACCAGGGTGTAGGATGAGTTCCACAAGGTCACAGGGAGCAGGCTTTATCGGGGATGGTGGAAAGTTACGAGGTGGAGAAGAAGAAAGGAGAGAAAGATCAGGCCCCATCTTCCCACTGGCCCCGTGGAGGGATGTGCGGGGTCCCAGCCATCGCATGGTGCAGGGTGGACGTTGTGTGGAGGGACACCACCCAGGCTCACCTACTTTTTGATGGAGCCAGTCAGAGAAGGCGGCCTCATTAGTAGGGGGCTCTCAGGCTCTTTGGTACCAGGCAGTGTAGACGTGGTCTGCCAATTATTTATCAAAACCATCTAGGAATGCCAACAGCCCACACCTGCGCAGCTTGGACCCACTCCTCGTGGAGAGCAAAGCCCCTGGTCCTGTGGGAAGCTGAGCTTGTTCTCCAGGTGACTCTGAGTATCCACCCGAGTCTTGATTGGATGGTCATGCTCCTTGTATCACCCCCTTCCTTCCTCATTTGCCTGGGACCTAGATCTGGGGTATTATGTCCTGATAAGTGAAATCCTGCTTTCCCCAGCCCTCTGAGTCATCAGACACTCCCTTTATTATCATAGAGATATGATAATATCATGCAGAGAGGTGGTGGCATCAGGAAAGGCATTTTGGTTTCACGAGACGAAAGACATGAAACAGGGAAAATAGGTATGTATTGGCTCATATAGTTGAAAAGCAGAGGGATAAAGCTTCAGGTGTGGCTTGATCCAGTGGTTCAGATAGTGTTACCAGGACCCAGTATGTCTTCTTGTCTCGGATTTTCTGAGGATTGGCTTAATTCTATACATCCAGATGGGGATAAGATAGCCTCTCAGTAAAGCTCAGAGCGAATAAACAGTTCTTGCCAAATATTTCAAACACAAGTCCTATGCCTCATTATGTCTGCACTGGGTGTCTGATTGGCCAGGCCTGGGTCAAGTACCCATTCCAGGAAATGTGAGTGGAGCCCCTGCTACCTGAAATATGGAGGGAGGGAGGAGGTAGTTCCCAAAGGAAAACTGGAGGGCAGTTACTGGAAGGGGGATGGATCCTCAGTGGCTGAATAACCACACATGTCCACAGTGACCCAGAAGGAGCTCCCAGTCTCGGGGCAGCACGACTCATTGTTTCCGACAAGGACTGGTCCTGAACTCAGCTCTGGCTTTTGGGTCGTTGGCTTGGATCCTTGCCTTCCACCCAGAGCCCCTCACCAGGACCAGATTGATCATGGCCCGGCCGGTGAGGGTGTTCAACCCGGCGGCCTCGTTCCTACAGGCCCCTGAGAGGACACAGGCATGGAGAAATCACTGGCCTGCATTACATTTAGATTTATTTTGTTGGAGCTAATTGTACTCTTTACTTGGTCCCAAGTGATTCATTCTTATCGTTCTTATTATAGCTGAGAAAATTAATTTTTATTCTACCATAAAGGTGGCTGTAATAATCTGGGTTGAGGGAGGGGATTACTTTAATAAGATTTGCCAGTCAGCTTTGAAATAGCCTTTATTAGCGCGCAGAGCTGGCCTGCTGCGC